CTCTTCTTCTTTCCGCGCGACGTCTTCCTCGCCCTGCGTCTCGCGGCTTCTCTTTTTCCTGCCTCGAGCCCGGGAGAGGACTCCTCTCGGTTCGGGCTCAACCCCTCGCATACAATGAAACCGAAAATCTCCGCGGCACTCGGGGAATGCGGCGCATGATTACCTACATCGAAACGAAGAACCGACCGGCAAGAAGAAGAAGCGCCGCGCTCTTTCTTTCTCTCTCTGTTGTTCTTTCTTCGTCTTCACCGCCTTGCCCTAAAACACGGGGGCATCTCGCGAAACGAGCGATCGCAGCGAGAATCAAACGATCGGGCATCGTTACGAAACGATTTGTTTCCGCGGGAAGGATGCTATGAAAACACTGTAAAATCTCTCTCCGTCCTTTTCTTCTTATCGCAATCAAACTTGTTACAAAAAGCTACGTTTACTATGGCAGACGTACAGTCTGATATAGAATTGTCTGGCAATAATAGTGTGTTTGCAAGCTTGAATTATTTCACATTGACCTTAGAAGTAAGATCTACTTTAGACAGAGATATACTTGCGCCAATACTGGCACAGAAAGTCGCTTGACCTGTCTGGAACAGAGCCAGACCGATATGAATCGACGAAAACCTACCGTCATTCACGTCAACGGTAGATGTTGGGTGCGGCGATCGAGCACGCGACATCTCCGCCTTCTCGTGACCGTGAACCGTTAAAATCGCAGGAATCAATCGGATTGACATAGTACGATCCCGAGGATCGTGGAGTGATCGAAGTTATGTGTCGTGGATTAGAAAATTCCGTAACGTAAAAATTAGCTCGATCTCCTTTTTAATTATAGTTTATTACTACGAATCTAATTATAATATTTATTTTTCTATTAATTAAATAAACATTATTATTTACTTTTTATATATACAAAATTTAATCGCATATTATTTATTACTTGCAATACTTTTGTCGATGCCATTAATTCGTTTGTATATTTTCAATACGGTAGATTCAATTTCTTTGCGCTGCAAGAAATGCTGCTTTGATTAAATTTTTTTTTTTTTTTTTTTAACAAAACGACAAAGTTTCTCAGTGAGCGTTTGATGCTCGTTCGAGGAGGTTGTATACAGTAGTGCAATTATGCACTCAGGGGACTTTTACTCTGCAGAAAAAGATGACGGATGCATCAGCGTACGCGAAAGAGCCCGCTTGCGCAGGCAGAAGATATAAATTTTAAATTTCACCGCGCCGCGCTGATATTTTTGCCGGAATTTCGTTGACTTAATTTCATATCCAATTAGATTGTATCAGATTGTATTTGTGTGCAAAAATCTCATTTATTTGCTTTCCGTTTCCTATCTTTCTAAATGTGCATTCAAAAATATGATGTTACGGATAATATGCATCTTATTAAAAAGTATTATCTTTGCACTACCTTTATAAAAGTATATAAATATTACACATATATAAATATTAAACACACAAAATTACATTATAATAATTCTTGATTTTTGCGTTTTATATTATGTGAAAGAACGTTTTCCTTTTTTGAAACGAACATAATTGCGACATGTGATTCATATATAATTTTATATTTCTTGTAATTAGTATTGAGGGAAAGTATACATCACTCATTTTATATGCGTAAAAAATATTATCATTCTTTGCGTGCGTTACACATCAGAATTTTCTTGGGAAGCGATTACACCTTGTCGGTATTTGAATTATATGAGCGTGTTGGCCGATGAAATTCTAAGGAATACGTCGGTCATGCTAGCCGCATTGTTTCTCCCCGTATTGTGAATTAAATGCACATTAACCCTAGAATTGCGCGGCCCGCGATTACGATCACGGTAGAGTCGCGCTAATTAAAGGTGCGCGGTCGTGCGCTAAACATTTCGCGTGTATATTTAAGCAAATAACCATCGCATCTCGTTTGCATTATAATTACACCGTCGATCTCTCACTGCCCGTTTTCTCTCTTTTTCTCTCTCTTTCTCATTCCCTCTCCGGCTTCCTTTTAGTGCCACGTATTACTCGTAAAATCGGTTTGCGCGATTGATCGGAATCAAAACCGGAAACGAGCGCGAAGCTTTCACGGGATTATAGAAATAAATTAATTATCGTGTAGTATCAAGATTGAGAAACAATTTTTCGTTGCAATTCAAATGATCGGTAAGTCGACTCTACTCTCTGGCGGTCGAGTTTCGTCTTTGCGGGCCATCGATTAACGAGGCAAGGCGATGAAAGATTTCGATGAAATAATGATGGGACCAGGTCGATAAATAGTACGCCTCTCTGCCCGTCTCTCTCTTTTAGGGGCGGATGATTCGGATGGTTGGGGCAGAGGGTGGGGAAGGGGGAGAGGAAGCCTTCGGGCCCGCGCTAATGCCAGCCGAGAGAAGACAGCTATCAAAAGCCCGTATTTAAATATTATCAATGAAATTACAGTGCTCACTGATCGCGCAGCCTGCTCAGTCATTACCGACTGGCAATTCGGGCTCTTTAATCGCCGTTGTCAATACTAATCGACATCGTCGTTATTTAATATGCTTCGTCCCATTTTTCTTTTACGGATCTTCGCGGAGCCATCCGCTGGTGTTTTCGTTTCTTTCCTTCACCTTTTTCAACAGCCCTTGGGAACGATCCAACTTATCCGAAGGTGAAACATATAGATTGATCGAAAATTATATAATTTGTATTCGTTGGTATAAATAAGTTATTATAGCACTAAGAGATTTATCCAACAGGTATACGTAACGTATATATTTCGGACAGAATAAATGAGCCAGTTTTATTCCTCTCTGTTACGTTATTTTGGCTCGTAATCTATAATATCAATCTCTATAGTCCCTCTATATTTAATAAATTTACATAAATAAGCATCTCCCGTTATACTTTATATCAGTTAGCCGGAAAAACGGGCGTATTACGTAACAGGCATGCATAACAGAACTGATGGTTTTGTTTGTCCTTTCCGGATTTTTAAATTTATCATCGTTCGTTGGACGCGCAGTCGCAACTGCAAGTTCGCAGTTAGTAAATGGTAAGCCAAGAAAAATTAATATCGGTGTTGCTATCTGCATTAAGCGCCATTAGCATACCGGCGAACGGAGCAGCGATAGGAGGGGAAGGGAGAGGGAATAATAATTAAAACCACTATGATGGTTATCTAAATAATTAGGACTTGGCGTGACTCTCTGCGTGACTCTCTGCTGTGTGTAACGCGGACTGTTAGATGGTAGATTTCACGAAGCGCGGGCATAATTAGATAAGAGATATGAACATGAAATCCGCGTATTTAAATCACACTGTTGCGAGAAAACTATATGTCAAAGTCTGTTACGCGATCTGTTGAAAATGTATTTATAACTATCTATCTTAGAATCATATCTTTTTATTTAAGATTGCCAACTAAATCATCAGCAATTTGTTCTTGATGAACATGACATAATTGACTTAGATGTACACAGCTAATGGATATTTATATATATATATATATATATGTATATATGTGTGTATAAAACTTTCTCTTTAGTTATATATTTTCCTAAATTATAGCTGTATTGTGTACACAAAATATAATAGAAAATATATCGTATATGAAAAGGAAAGCAAATTATTAAAATATTTATTTCTTATTGAAGTTGTCAGTGAGTCAGACGAAATCGTGACGGTCTGCTTAGTACGCTTTCGAGCGGATTGCATAATTGATTTACGAATATTTCATAAACTCCGACTGTATACTATCACTATTATAAAAAAAATCATTAAATGAAACTTCTCCCCTGCTCGAAAGAAGTTTTTTTACAATTGACATACTTAATCGCAACTTGTTTCGTTATATAACGCGTAGGCGCAAGTATAATTGTGCATTTCAAACCCCGATTTAGATGTACGGTAACTTATAATTGAACTTCGTAACATGATAACGAAACATACAAATTATTTCAGAGCAGAGGGTCTATATATTCCTTAGTATATATAATAGCTCTGTTGCAACTGTATTTTTTAATTCGCATAGTCGATTATTCGAATTTACAAAAGGGAATCGTTTAAATAATAAAACTGCGATGTATCTATATTTCAAATTATTCATCAATTCTTAAAAAGATTTCTTGGAGCGACATGAATGCATATTTTATTTTACATTCAAATAATAAATTTATATTCGACTCTTCATATATATATTCCTGACATATTTCAATGATACCGCAATGGCACGTGTATAGATTCGAAAATAAATTTGATATAATTTTGCATTATCTCTTTTCTCGCTTTTTCTATTATTTTCGAAAATTCTGTATCGTTTAACGTACAAAATGTAAATCGCAAAAATATATTTTTTTCTCTTTTTACTTCCTGCTGCGCCTAAATAGAAAAACGGGGTCAAAAGGCAGATACGTGTCGGCACTGTCAAAGAGTTTAGCCGCAAGGCACGCGAATCAGTGATGTGATCTGATAAGAAGCGGAGCATCTCAGATTACCGCGTACCAGCCCCCGCTGTGTCCACGCACCTTAAAGCACCATTCTCACGTGCGGCGACATAAGCGAGGCACACGTGCTAGGGATTCTCTCGGAGCAACTGCTAAAGACGTTGCATTAGTATCATTAGTATTCATAGATAATTGCGTGTTCAATATTTTCGCCAAGTCTTATTGCTTCTTCTTCTAATTCATTCCAAGTTTGAGCGATTACAATTGGTAGCAACCAAAGGAAAAATGTTTCTTTTTACAAACATTCAGTAATCAAGTTTTATCTTTACAATTATTGCTAAAGGCATCTATCTGCAAGACAGTAGAAACGAAGTGAGAGCCATCGCGCGATTATTATTTTATTTCTTTCGCATGGTTGCAAGTTTTTACGAAATCAAGGAAGAAATAATTAATTTTTTAGATGTTGTCGTGGTAGGAAGACTATGCGAGTTATCTGTATTGCGAAATCTGATTTCTCTTCACGACAGGAATGTAAATTACGTAAACAATTGTATATATGGCTAAGTATGACGTACACTATGCCGTTATAACGAAACGTGTATGAGTGTGTATACTTTGGAAAGTAAATAATTACTTTCAAAGGACTGTTACGTCTTGGAAGTTGCATTAATTTCGCAGCGCCGTTCGATGATCCCGGTGGGATCACGTTCGAGCAATATCGAATAAAGACTGTGATTATGTACGATACGATGTTGATGACGCGAACCTAAGAGCCGACTTATCCTGCGCGCGCGAGTCGGCAGGCAGCTCGAAACCAATCCGTATCGGAGTCGGTCCGGTCTGGGATTAATCGGTGTTTTGTTCTGCGGCGAAGTGCTTATTAAGGCCATGCCTTATTAAGCTTCACGGGCATGCAAACGCGGACGGTATCCGTGAGGATAGATTCGATCACGAATGAAATGGCGGCCGGCCATTGTATCAAGTCGGGTCTTATTATAAGCAATCGCGACCGACAATAATTAAATTAATCGCGCCGGCGATATCTACGTTTCGGAATTAGCGCACCGTGAATGTAAAAATCTTATCGAATGATTTTTGTAAGTTTCATACTTATGTAGTTTAATACCTTCTTTTTTAATATGTGTTTTTCGATATAAAGGGAAAGACCAAATTTGCAAACAAATTTTTATAATAATCTTTGCTGACATTCTTATTTATTTTATATCTTTTTTATCTTCATTATGTATTATTATATGCTTAATAATGCATGTAGTTTTTTAATTTATTTTTATTAGACTTTCTAATAACTTCAGGTAAACAAATAAGATTTAGATGATCTTCAGTTTCAACGAGTTACCGAATAATGTCGTGTACTCCTGTGCGCTTTCAACTGATATCTCTCGCAGTACTGACGGCTGCAAATGTCACATTTGTACGGTTTCTCGCCGGTATGCGTATAAATGTGATTCGCGAGTTTTGTCTTCACGCTGAAACGCAGCTTGCAAAAGTCGCATTCGAATTGCTTTATACCGGTATGTCGATATCTGTGTACCTTGAGACCCCAGGATCTTCTGTAGCTCTTGCCGCAATCTTCGCATTTGTAGGGCCTGATACCTGCAAATTGAGATAGTTTTATGCGATGTTGCTTATAATTTTCGCTTATATTTTGCAATTTTAATTAGAAATCTAAAAATTATTCACATAAAGCGCAAAATATTTCAAACCTTACAATAATGCAAAAATTTGATTGAAAGATTAGAATCAACTCTAAAATGACAAGTACATATTTCGGCCGCGAATTTTACATCGGATTCTTACTTGTTTCTTTTTTAATCGTCTTTAATATCTCGACATTGTAGAAAAAAAGAATATATTCCTATATAACAGCGTTCATATGGATATATACAAATCATCCACTAACCAATAATTATCCCAGTATGCAAAGCATAAATCACAGACACACATACGATATTAATAACCGTAATATTTTTAAAGAATCGCGGAAGGACGGATTTTTCAAGTAACAGGTCGAAGATTCGCGGCGAGGGGCGAAATTGGCGCCTCCATACATTCACCTCGGTTAGACAGAGGTTAATTAAAAGTCCGGAATACATTTCCGCCGTGGAACGCCTGAGGTCGCGTACAGAGAAGCGCGAATGTATTTAAGCGCGTTGAAAAATGCGTTTATGCATGATCATTTGTACGCGTTGCGAACCGAGCGCTACCGATTATCTCGGTAAGCTCTTTTGTCCGGGATGATCGTTTCACAGACTAAACCCTTCGCTGGATTTATATGAGAAGTTGACGATCCTCAGGGCCTTTGCGAAGAAAGAAACAGAAAAAGGTAACAGAGATACATATAAATAGCGCGATCTCTGATCGTCAGAGAGCTGCAGATACGCGTTCAGCTTCCTCATACCGGGTCGGAGAAGTTGTGAGAATATTCACAAGAGCTCTCACACACCGTAATGCGCCAATATGTGGTGCTTGAGCGCCCCTTTCAGATGGAAACGATGCTTGCAGATGTCGCACTCGAATCTTCTCACGCCCGTGTGCGTCAGCTTGTGCGTCTTCAGCACCGACGATCTCTTGAACCTTGCCGGGCAGAGATCGCACGCGAACGGCGAGTCCGCGGTATGGACGATCATGTGAGTCCGGAGGCTGCTGGACCTCGGGAAGCCCTTGCCGCAAGTCGTACATTCGTGGAGCCTCGCGTTAGCGTGCGTCAGCTTGTGATCGCGCAGCGATCGGTGGTGCAGCAGTTTTTTCTTGCAAATAGAACACTCGAACGTTCTTCCTCCTGAGTGCGCTTCGGCCTGGTGTTTTTTCAACGCACGTTTCCTCTGCGACAAAATCATTTATATAAAATTATCTATAAAATTATTTGAGGATAAAATAAGGTAATTAAATGACACGAGAACTATAAGATGAAAATTTAATTAATTAATCTTTTTCGTATCTTTTAAAATATCATTTTGATTTTTATGTTACTCGATTTGTTTCTCGATAGATTGTTCGACAGATTAGATTGATTGTAATTGTGTATGCAACTTTGATATTTCACTGAGCATTCATTAAAGTGAATACGAAGTAAGTACGGCAGTTTGTGCAGCAAAGAGTTTGAAGAGATCTGATATCAGGACGATTATTATCTACGAATGTGGTTATTAGCATTAACTACCTGAAATTGGAGTTCACATTGTCTGCACGCGAAAGACTTTGGAATAAAATGCATATGCAGGTGATCCTTTAAGGTTGACGATCTTGATGGGAAAGGTAATTGCATTATTAGTAATAAACACTGTGTATGTAGCGATGAAGGCCGTTTCAGGCTAATACGTTTCAAATAGCCGTTGATGACGTTCTATGTTTTGAATACGTAATGTAGCAAAATTATATATATATATATATAAAAGAACATTACGAGATGCCAAGAATTTTAATCAGATTTTATCCGTTTTTATAAACAAAACTGTTTCCTCTAATCATAACATGATAAGCAACGTTAAAATTATATTTTCTATCGTTTGGCTATCGTTCATACCGTAAGAATTGTTTCCTGCAGTATCCGCACTGGAAAAGTTTCTCATGGCTATGTCCAATCATGTGAGTCCTGAATTCGATCTCGTTCGGAAATTCGATCCTGCAGACGCTGCACATTAAAAGCCTTCCTCCTGTCAGTGCCACGATGTATTCCTTTAAATCAGTGTACTCGTCCATTTGTCTCTGGGAAAGTGAAACGCTTGCATTTCTTTGACAGTCCGATTCTGGGATCTGTTCGGAATCTTCATGGAGCGATACATTTTCCAATGGTACATTTCTGACATGCTGTTCGATATCCAGTTCATCGTTGGCAGAAAAATTCTCAATCTCATCCAGAATCTCGGTCTTTATTTTAATCTGGAAAAAAAGAAAGAAAGGTGAATGATTGGATTATCGCATTAACAATTTGCATATCAAGTAATAACCGACTAATCTCTTATTGCATATTTTCGTGTACGAACGCAGAGCATAAAATATTTTTATTTCTATCTATTAATAAGCTCAAATTTTTTCAACGCGTATTTAACTTACTATGACAACAATAAAAAAAATTAGTCTTTTAATATGTTCATTAAATGATCAAGATTCAAAATTATTTAATAATTATTAAATTATTTATCGATATTCATTATCAAGATTGAACGTAATATTTATTTATTTATTTGTAAACGGAAGAAAGTCCCTTTAGTACAAAAAATATAATTATAATTTCAACAAAAAAACTTAGAATAAGATACTGAGAGAATAAATGAGAAAAGACAGACATAACAAGTTACAAAAAAATAAGAGTAAAATAAAATAAGATAAAATAGAATAAAAAAAATCTAACGAAGGTAAAGAAATAATGAATAATAAATTTATATTTCATACAAAGCTCACAAATTATGGAATGATCATATGTGACGTTAGATAAAGTGCTAAATAAAAAAGTAAAAAAAGATGGACCAAAGTGTCAGCATTTATAACCTAAATACATGAGAGAAGGCATACTTCGTGGCATGTTTTGCAAGGCTTGTTACTACCGATGATCTCCAGATCATTCGCGTCGAAAACAGCTTGGTATTGCTGAGAACGATCGTTGATAGCGAAACTCTTACCCTCCATGATTCTCGCGGAGTATATGCATCCTATCTCGCTGGGAAGATTGTAAGATGTCGAAGGAAAATACACAGTAGAGAGACACAAAACCAACGAGAAACAATTGAAAAACAAATATGTCCGTTTGGAGATTGCATATTCTTTGATATAATATAATAATTATATTATATTTCAAATACGGATATATATATATCTTTGTTGTGAGAAAAATTGTGAGAATTCTCTCTAATGCCAGATATTTTAATACTTATAAAAATAATATATTTAATTATTTTCTCATTTAGTGAATAATATCTGATAAAAATGTGAATTTAAAAGTCTATTACACATATCTATATTTTTTATTATGAATATTCCATTAATAATTTTATCTATTATTTCCACCTTATTCTAAAGTAATGTTGTTGAACTCAGCCGTGATAATTGCATCGGCGCGTATACAAACGCGCCGAAATATTCGCAAGGTTATTTAAGAAATGGCGAGACGAGAGGAAGTGTATTGCGGCGGCGAGTTTATCACTTTATACTAATTGACCGGTTTCGGCATTAATTTATGCGTATTATTAGTCCAATTACGCGCGCAAGAATCCAATTATGAAATCAGTACGCCATAAAGTTATTTCTATTTCTTGCTTCCAGATATAACTATGTTAACTATGTCCTCACACGCGGATTAATTGCAAAAGATGTTAAAGAGAATCTGGTATGATGTTTTATTACCGCGTGAATAATGAATCTAATTGCGGCGAAGGGTATGTTACATTACAAGTATCAAAGTAAATATGTATAAGCGCCGAATGAGATAATCACGAGGGTTGCTTATCGCTGGTTTTGACTTAACGAATAGTCGGAAAAGATGCAAAGATATATTTCCGCATATCGCGTATTAAATTAAATATCGCCGGATCATTGACAATCTGTGCGAAGTCGTACATATAAGTAATTATTTTGATCGTTTGTAGAATGACACGCCAACCCGGCTAATTAAAAATCTAGCGGGGAGAGATAAGTAAGCGGAAGAGAAGTAAGTATATTAGAATATTAAAATTCGTCACGGAATCGCAGTTGAATATTCTTAATTATGATTCCGTGCTGATATAAATATACGAAGCATCGACCATTCCGAGTTTTATACAGCGTAATTAGCGGCCTATTGCCGGCTGTGCTGTGTCCGTTTGCATAAAATAGTGTAATTGAATGAAATTAGAGGAAACGAGTTACGCGTCTGTTTACTCGGAAAAAAAAGGAAGTATTGCACTACGAATAATTCTTACGAGCATAGGAAGTGGGTTATTTATGATCCCTCTGCCCACTCTGCTTACAAGAGCGCTTTTAATCTACGATTAAACATTAGATTTACAATGAGAAGCTCCGATGGAATATTTTTTTACGTAAACGTACACAGTCGCGATCATTTTAAATTTATCGCGATTATACATATTATCGTCGGTGTATATCAGTTGGCGAAATGGTAATTATAAGATATTTTTATGCGCAAATGAGAAATAATTAAAAAAATATTCTTGCATATTTTCATTCCGTTTGTAATAACGAAGAATAAGACGGCGAGTATAAAAAGCGATAGTGCAATTTTAGAATTATCGAGAAAAAATGTCGCGACTAGTGATATTGAACAAGATGATTTAATAATCAAGAATCCTACGTTTTTTGTTTGTCGAGTGTATGATAAATGAGATAAGCCTAAGTAAAAACCTAGACTTAGATAATCAATAGGTAAGCCCCGCTACACTTATACCTAGTGTCAAGAACAAAATTGTATTTGTATGTAGCTGCTCTGACTTTCGTCCACGGTTATTTTTTCTCTCGATTTCGCTGTCATTTTCATAGACTCGGATATATCTCTGTGATATTTTTGACAGTATAAGTCGTTATCTCTTTGCCGATGAATGACTTCCGTCATATTGTACGAACAATCTATTTCATCGTGAACATTCTTTTCGTCGCGCATTATGAATCGCATTCATCGCATTATTAAAGCGGCCTGCTTTTCCGCCGTTTTCCCACGGCGGTTTCCTGCCGTTTAGCTCCTCGACTTTGCATCTCTCCACGTGCCTTGCCTGATGACAGCGACGTCGGGCACGCGTTGCAAAAAGCGTCGAGATGCTCCTCCTGAGAATGGTCTCTGTCTATCGTGCAAATAAATCCGCGACGACGCATGATGCGCGCTCGCTCACGGATTGATGCATTATTTCATGGAACTGCGGCGAGGTAACTGCATTCACCACGACATCAAGAGAAAGATAGAGAGAAAGAGAAAGATGGACAGAGCGCACGAGCGAGCGGGCGCGTGTGGGAAACTCGTCGGATGCATTATGTATTTGTCGCTTTACTTAGTTGGGAATTACTTTGCCATCGTAATGACTTTTAGGTATAGCGTGCGCTATCTTAGGAATGCCATATCCCTGATTTATCACCCGGATCTCGTTTTTCTCGCGGGTCATTTTGTCGCTAACGCCAATACCTGTCCAGCACCCGCGAGCGTCATCGACAACCGGAGTCCGAGTTCGCCCCGCGTTGCGGGTCCATTGACCTTCTTTGGCACAACGGTGCCGAATTACAATCACCGGATTACGCAAGTTGAGAGAACTGTTGCCGACCCGATAAATCGTCATCCTCTTAATTCCTCGGAATTCGTGCCACTATCGGACAGTTTCTTTTTCAAGGGGCGTGCAACGAGTGTTGCTTAAAACTTGAAAAAATCATTCCTCGAGAAACGTCGACGTTGATCACTTATTGAATCAAGTCATTTTATTTATAATATACAAAATATTGCAGAAACAATGTAATATGTATCGTGTTTTAGAAATAAGTATTACTATATTGCCTCGACAATTATTTATCGATAACTTCGGGATTATAAGCGACAGAGAGGTTAAAAATTTTGATGAATTAAACTGCAATTTCTACAATGTCTCTACGTTGGTGTCTGAATTAGTTGAGTGATGAATTATAAAATAATAAGCAATATTGTTCATATATAAAGTGAGATTAATCTTTATCTCGCGATCGATGCACGGGGCGCCTATGTGCAGAAATGTATCTACGCGTGCTGCGTTTGCACAGATTGCCGTGCGGATAATGTCGGCAAATTGAATATGTAAAACGTATCTGGCATTAATGAACTAATTACAGCGAAGATATATCCACGGGCGGCATCTTCAACGAGACGCCGACATTGACGCGAATATCGTCGAGCTCGACAGGCTGAAGAAATCTTTATTTTTTCATGCAATTGTTTCGCTAATTGCCTTTGCCGGAATGCACACATGCATGAGAAAATGTAATAAATATTTGTGATTAATTAAAGATATAAGATATTCCAGTTTCATATCAGAGAAAGAGAAGAAAAAGTACGCTTTTATAGGTTCTTTTAATTGGACGCATGTATCATCGCTTTTTGTCTTCGACAAATCTTTTTACGACCGACGGTACCTTGTGAATTAACGTCTGAACTGTGAAAAGTATTGTTACAAGATAATTTTCCAAGGGATTTTGTAACATTGCATAACTGAAAAAAAATAGCACGCGACAAACATTCTTAAATAGTTTAATTTTTCCCGACAGTAATAAATAATATTTTATATTTTACGTATCATATATATTACAAACTAATATTAAAGTACCTATATTAGTTTCTAAAAACGTTTTGCATATTCATCCATGCATAAGTTGAATAAGAGCAATTTATTTAAATATATTCGAGGATAAAATAAAGATGATAAACATATGGAAGAATATTAAAAACATATATAATATATTAAATATCATAAAAATGCAGAGGTAAGATAATTCACTTTGTTAATATTATCTTATCTGCGATATTATTTCTTGGGCGCATTTATATCGTGACTGGTGATAGCATGTGAAAAAGAAATAGGAAAGAAAGAAACGCTATCATATTTCTTATCCGATTACATTGAAATTGAATAAACAACGCGACCAATGGGACAAATTAAGATTAAGAATAAATTCCTACACATCTACATCATACGCAAATACACGTGGCTAAAACATGTACTTAATATTTTTACTCTTCATGAGTTTATTGAATGACTACACTATCGGCATTATCGATAAACCTAGATAATTTTATCATGTTGCAATAATCCCGTCTTAACTTATGCACGTAGCTGCAATATATCATTCGTTTATTATCACATAGATATGCTATGTTTTTATATAAAATAAATTGTGAATATTTAATGTTAGTGAATATATAAAAAAAGAAAAATGTGACC